AGATACTCTTAATGGAAACAAAGATATCTAGTTCAAGAAAGTAGACAGAGTAAAACCAAACAAAAATAAGAAAAGTAGAGACATTTATTATATTATTGTAATAAAGAGCAACACATGCAAGCCTAGTTATATGAAATAGACAAACATTCAGCAACAGGTTAGAAATAAAAGAAAGAAAACCACATGTCACCAGTATTTAAGGATCACAGCTTTATGATAAGAGAATAAAGTGAATAATATTAAATTTGGTAATCTCAAAGAAAAACATGTTCTCTAAGATCAGTTCCAAAGAAGGTGAAATTCTGACAAAACAATCATTTAAAAATTGAAGCATGTCCAGAAGTCAGCCAGGAAAATGTACTATCTAGAAGGGGTTTATTGGTACTCAATATTCAAATTTTGTAACATTGAATTTTATAAGTTACAACGTACCTTTTATATGTTTTATGAAATTATTCTAAGGAAGTAGAAAAGGAAGATTGCTATCTTACTTTATGGTGATAGGAAACTTTGAAATCCATCCCAGACAAAGACCATAGGAGAAGAGAAAATTATAGGTGTCACAAATTGATGGGAAGAGATAAATGGACCAATATGTCAAAACAGAGAGCCCAGATGTTGACTGAAGGCCTAAGTGGAAAGATATATAATTAGTGAGCCTTTCAATCATGCCAGCTGGGACATTTGCTTATTCATGTGGACCCTAAAAATAAAGGGATGCCTTCCTTATGTAATGCCCCAAATAAGTAAAAGCCAAAGTCATACTTATCACAAATATAGCTTTAAAGAACACAGGAGAAATATATAAGACTTTGGGTTTTTAAAAGATTGTTTCAAAGATGAGAAAAGTCCAATACATTAAGAAAAGGATTGGAATTTTTGAAAATGTAAGCACTCTATATAGCAAAGGTTATCCAAAGTGTCAAGTTGAGGCATGTATATATGGGTCCATTTTGTATTAATAAATCACATTTCTTTCTTTCGATTGTCTCTTCTGGGAGCTAGTGGGGGTGCAGGGGAGCTGGCTTGGAGGCTGGTCCAGCAGGTGCTGGTTATGTGGGCATCCTAGACGGGATCTCTTTTACCATGAGGAAGTAGGATGTAATGGTGCCTATACATCCAGCAAGTCAGATAGCCGTAATGGAATCCTTCGGACTGAGAGGCACAAACCACAGCCATTTATTTTTTTTTAGAGGTCTGGAGACTGCCAAATCCACTTCCAGGTCAGCAAGATCCAGAACCTGGAGAGGGCTCCTCCTGGCTTTCATGTGGCTGGCTGCCTTCACTGGGACTTTAAGTAGCATGAAGCATACAGTGAGCTTTCCAGGACTTTTCTTATATGGACACTAATCTTACTGAGTCAGAGCCCCAACCTATTTATGCTTACTTATCCATGCTCTTTCATTTACAGATTTAGACATCATGGGGAATAGGTGGTCAGATTTCGAATATCTGTTCCATGACACCCTACTTGGGGGGAGTTCTGGTATAGGTTACGTGAGTTTCTCCATGTCAAGAGAGGTCATTGTTGATACAAGGACTCAGTAAATAATAGGCATCGATTTAAATCTCCTATTTTTAAACCTCGAACCAGCAGTGATCCATATAATAAACCTGATTTTCCTGGGTATTTTAGGAGGGCAGGGGTGACACCAGAATTCATTCTCATTCATGGGATGATGTGGCTTTGTCCACTCCATCCTTAGTACATAGCAAGAGTGGATGGCTTCCTGGGTAGCGTCGAAGAGCAACTGAGTATGCCTTTGAGCTCTTCCACAATGGAGCAGAGAATTCCCTCAGTCTTGCATCCCTTCTAAGGAGCAGCACACTCATCCCAGTTTCCATACTGACTCCACAAACACAGAAGGTCCACATCCCATAGTGAGGTCTGTGGAGGTGGTCCAGGTTTCACAAACTTTTACAATAGCTACATCCCCTCCCCCACCCTCACGGAATTAGCTGCCTCAGATTTTAAATACTAACATTGGAGCTTACTTTCTTTTCTTTTTTTTTTAAGAATTATCTATTTTATGTATATGAGTACATTGTCACTGTCTTCATATATACCAGAAGAGGGCATCAGATCCCATTACAGATGGTTGTGAGCCACCATGTGGTTGCTGAGAATTGAACTTGGGTCCTCTGGATGAGCAGTTAGTCCTCTTAACCACTGAGCCATCTCTACAGCCCCCGGAGCTGACTTTCAAGAGTTTCCTAGAGTAAATCATTTTGAAAAGTCAATCAGCACAATAACACATTCCATTAGATGGTTAGGGATGCATGCACATGTATTTTTTTTTTCTTAATTGAAATTCCCAACTGTGCTCTAACCTAACTCAGTAGACTTGAAAGGTAAAGGTCATTACACATGATAAATTCTTTTACTTTCAGGAAGGGTAGAAACAGCATAGTCTTCGATATAAAGATGGAAAGAGGACTGTCGTGTTTATTACTACATTAAAGGTAGCCATAGAGGCTAGAGAGATGGCTCAGCAGTTAAGAGCGCTGGCTGCTTTTGCAGGGTACCAGAGCTCAAAGTCTACTCATAGGACAGCTCACAACCATCTGTAACTGCAGTTCCAGGGGATCTGACACCCTCTTCTGGCCTCCCTCAGTACTGAGCACAGACATACACACAGGCAGAACACCCGTAAGACTTTGTTTAAGGAAATTAGTAATAATGTACAAAAGATCACTGGTAGATTTTGCAGGAGATCAGGATTTGTTTCCTGCAGTGCAGCTCTGTAGATAGAACAACTGAGAATGTCCCAATGGCAACCACTGTGTTCCCTTTCCACTGGGGTCTTAGACCTGCCCTGTTCCCAGTGGGCACTGTTGGGCTCCATGACAATAGCTTTAACAAATCAGTATGAAAACTCCTTCTGGGCCATGGTATGTCACTGAAGGAGGGTGGGCACTGGGTTTCTGGCTTTTTTCTAAATCTATACCCTTAGGCTTACCAAAGATAAAATGGTTGAGTTTTGTTTTTAACAAATCCTAAGCTCTCACCCAGTTGGTGCGGAGGGTGTGAGTGATCTCAGAACTGAGGCCCCTAGTCCCTTCATGGGTTTGTCTTCAATTAGTAGTGACATTAATGGCATCTATTCTTGAATGCCTGTCATAGATTTGGACGTTTTGACAAGAAGTCTTATCCCATTAGGGGGAAAGGCCCTGACCTTGTTCCAGGCTGTTTTCTGTTGTTAGTGCTGTGCATTTGTGTAGAGGCAACTCCCATTTCCCATGCACAGAAACAATAACAAATCATCCAAGAAATCAAAATGACATGATTCTTAAGGGCAACCACTACCTACTTAGCATGAGCACCGCACGCAGGGCATCCTTCATGA